ACACGATCAGGAAAAATCAAAACAAACGTTCGCTTTGTCAAAAATCGCTTGTAACTCAAAATGTAGTATAAGAAACCACCTTTAGTGCTTTAATAAAAAGTTTCCTTGAGCAATTTTATCTATAGCTTTTTCTAACCCTAACCTAACCCAAATCCTAACCCTAACCCTAATCTAAACGAACTTAAAGAATTTTTTAGTGTGTTATACATAATCACGTGCTGGTAAAAATGTTGGTGGCGATCTAGGGGAAGATGATCATCAAACAATTATACTAAATATGATTGGTTAATTCGGTAAAAAAATCAAAAAAAATTGAAATTTTAGAGGCTGATTTAGTGAACTATAACTTTCTAATATGTAAGCACAAACTTATTTGTACACTTTTTGTTACTTTATTTTATATAAAGGTTTATTAAAAGCAAAGATGAAGCCAAAATTATCAACAAGACATTACCTCAAGTGCATTTACAAAGTTATTATGCACTTCTACTGCACTTTCTAGTTCCATTTTATCTTTAGAATTACTTTTGTCTACTTGTGTGGGCTCTTTTCTCTCTTTAGTAAGTTTGTTTGGATCTTTTTCTAAGCATTCAATAAACTTTATAGATGTAATGAAGTGTAACATCCATGGTGACATTCATGACTACAGGTTAAAACCTCATCCTCATTTAATATTTTATAGCAATAATTACAAGTATTTGTTGAAGGTACTAAATTCCATTGGTAAGTATTTTATGTCTACAATCTCATTTAAGGAAGCCAAATAATATAATGGATATGTTTGTTTTTTGTGAAGTTTACTTTTCCTTGATTCTTAAAAATTATATAGATATAATTTAAAAGAAATATTGTCATTTTTTCTTTTAGGTTGTTAATATTAAAATTGAATAGGGATATATATATATTTTTTGAAAAAGCGTTTTTTAATTCACTTGCACTTTGTGAGTCTTTTCATTTAAAAAAATAATAGATAAATTTAGTTAAACTTAAATTTTAAAAAGTTACTACTTTACTAATTATATAAGCTTTATCTATAATATTTTTTGCTATAACACTATATGAAGTATTTGCACATATTTTACTGTGCATATTTTTGACAAAATAGTTGTTGAAATTTACTAAATATAACTTAATTGCTTCTACTAATGGGTAATTAATATCTTGATAGTAAAATATATCTGATAAAAAATGTCAATAGAGCTTTATTGTAAATACATCTTTTCCACCTTAAAGCAAAAGTCCAGATTCTAAAGATTGACTTTAAATATTCATTGAATGAACCTGAATGAAACAGTATCTCTTAAACCATCTAGCAGGCAAATTTGCCTACTAGAATTTTTTTGAACATGTTTATTTAAAATTACTAAAAATTTTATTAAGAATAAGTACTCCTATTACTAAGCTAAAATAAAAATTTGGTATATTGTTAGTTAATATTTATTAAAATTTTAATTGTATATATATATATAAAAGAAAAATTAGCTAAATATAGCCAATTGTTTAATTTTATTATAAAATTTTTTTAAAAATTTTAAAAATTTTGAAATTTTTATATGTTTTTAAAGAGGAAAAAGTTTTTTCTATTAATAAAAGTTAAAATTTTAATTATAAAATTATAAAAACTTTTATAATTTAAGTTGTTTATAATAATTTAATCTATCATTTGTATCAAAATTATTGGGTATCAATTCTTAGAATTTTTAAAAGTTTGTTAATAATTAAAAATAAAATCTTTAAAAATTTTTTAGTTTATAGCCAACTTAAATTTTTTTTGTAAAAATATAAAAATTAAATTTATTAAAATAAATCTATATTCATAGTTGATATTTAAAAAAAAAAATTTTATAAATTTGTTAAAAATTTTAGCAGGCAAATTTGCTCGCTAAAATGACAGTTTAAGGAATAGCATAAATATCAAGTGATGTAGGAACTATATTATCTAGTAATTCTATAATTATTTAGTATTCAATATCTTTATAGACAGAACTAAATTTTACTATAACTATGTTTTATACTAAATACTATTCTCTATATACTAATTCGAGAAGCAAATTAATGCACCATGGTTTTGGCTTCTTAGCTAATATCTTTCTTTTTGCCAAATACAAAGTGAAACATTTTGTCAAAAAAAGATTAATATAAAAGTAAAATATGCTCTCTTACATTTAGTGATACATATAAAAAGCCCAAAATAGAAACAAATAAATTAATTGTTGGTAAAATTAAATTATTGTTCTTAGAAATAAGATTTATAATTGCTTTTTATATAAATAACTGACCTGGCCAGTCTATTATAATAAGTGCAACTCTGTTTACTAAGTGTTTAGTACTTTGATTAATATTAAAAGCTAACCTAAGTGCCATAAGATAGAACTCATTAAGTATAAATTTTTTTCTTGTAGCCCAACTAAATACACTATTTTTATCAAATATTCTTCTTTTCATGTATCAATTGCATTGTTATAAAAATATATCATTAACAAGTCAATTATATTAAAATTATTAAAATCTAAATTTCTACTTGAAAGCCATTGACTTTTTTGGATAGTATATGTAACATCAAATAATTGTATATTAAATGGAAACAAATATTTGCTGCATTAATGTTTAGAGAATTGTAAACTAACATATTATTATAAACAATTAGTATAAGTATACTTGCAAACACACATAACCATATATTTAATATTATATAAAGTTGTTGTATTTAGTTTTCTTTTTTTGTATATATTATTATGATAATCATTCAAATTATAGATGAAAAAGTTGTTAAACTTTTTTTAAAAAAAATTTAATTTATAAATATGTGTATAATTCGTAATTTATTTACTAATTATATATATCTTATCAAAAAAAATTAGTAACAAATTTTTTTAGAATATTCTCATACAATTTTTTTTTATATTCGTATACAGTCTGATAACATGCAGAAAATCTATTGTATTTATAGTAAAGAATAATACTCCAGAAGCAGAAAGATATAATTTAACTTCTAATTTAAATTTATTAGCAAACTTGTTCTTTATTCTAGCTATAATATGACATAAGCCTATAATAGACTTTTTGGCTTCATTTTTATTATAGATTAATTGTTTGTCTTAAAGTAAAATAGCTGTCAATTGATTAAAAAATTCACATAAATGAGAACCATCTTGTTCAATTGTTTGCTGAAAATGAAGTAGATCCAATTCCAAATCTATATTATTTCTTGTAAGTATTTTAACTTGCTTAGAAAATGTAATTTTTGTTGGATTAATATTTTCTTTATTGGTTTTGTAAAAAATCCAAATTCCCAACTTGAATACAAAAATCTTTTTACCCAGTTTTAGCAAATGCACTTTCTATAATAGTATTTAATTTTTTATGTTTATGTAAAATAACAGATACTACAATATCTATTTTTTTGCTTTTTTTTTTGTTTTGATTAGCTTTAACAATATTCAAATAATGTTTAAAACAGAGTTCTTGACCCTCTTTTAAATATTAAAAATGTTAAAAGGCCCCTTTCTCTTTAGCTTTATACAATAGGATTAAGTTTGTGAAACTTGCTTGTATTATTATTACAATTGTGTATTGAACAAGAACCAAAATACTTTGGAGACATTATATAGATTTAAGATATTTTTTTAAAAACTATTGGTATAATCAATAAAAAAATTATGTAATTAAAAGTATAATCATAGTAATTATATTTGATTAATAGTTCATAAACTATATTTTTATTCAATAAAATTTTATTAAAAAAAACTTGACAATAATACTATTTAATTACAAAGTACTACTATAGTAGCTTGTTCTTGGTAAAACTTAACTAAACCAATGGCAAAACTTGACTAACAGCAAAACTTAACTAATGTAAATGCAAGACTCAACTATAAAATATAGTAAAAATTTAATTACAAAAAATATTAAGTATTACTATTATAAAACAATTACAGTAAAACTATAACTTGCTTAAACTTATAGTAAAATTTGACTATTGTAAACTCTATTATAAAAAAATACATATAAACTTTTAGATTATTTTTTTCTTACTTTATATATGAAATTTAAATAGCTAATCATAGTTTAAAAAATTAAAATCAACAAACTACATACATGTAGCCAATAAAAACAAACTTCAACTATGCTATATAATATGCACTTAGAAAGATATAGCTATAAAATTTTTTAGTTATCAAAAACTTTACAATATTTAATCCTATTATATTACAGTGATAATATTTTCTTTCAACTTAATCTATGAATTTTAGAGTATTATTTTTTATCATTTTGGTGGCTTGTTTCTTGGGAGCTGTTAAAAAACTAATGCTATTAATGTTTTTAAGAAAATTTAAAAAATTTTAAAACACTGCATTTTAAAAATTATGATTTCTTTGAGAACAAACTAAAAATATAAAATTTTTGTTCTTGTAAGATATATATAAAAATAGTAAAATTGGAAAATTTTGAAAACATAAAATTATCAATTATATTCTTGAAAAACAAAAAAATTTCAGATCCTTTTCACTGCTTGAGAGTAAGAAATTATTAATTAATTTTATCTTTTTTTTGGATTTCTGTTTCAATATTCTTTGAAATATTTTATTTACATTTAACTTTAAGAAAATATAAATTTTGATTCTAAAATTGATTAAGTATTACAAATATGCTAATCAAACTTAACAAATCAAATTTTTATAAGAACACTATTTTAACTTTGTATATCATTAAAAGTAGAGTATACATAAATCATTTATTATTAATAATATTATTAATCTTTTTTGTATAGCAGTTTATATAGTAAACACAACTCTGATTGGGTAATTAGTAATAATTTTACTATTTGTAACCCTAGCAAATTTGAAGTCCCTGGCAATTTTAAATATATAAAAAAGTATATTTTTTTAAAATAATACGACCTATAAAAATTTTACTACTATAAATAGAAGGTTTAATTCTATATATTACTCAATTTTAGCAAAATTAACAGTAATTTTAAAAACTTTTATTAGTGGCATATTGTAATTTTATGCATAAAATTTCATTGTACCACAAAAGTTATATGATAAATGATCAATATATACTCTACCTTTAAATATTGCAGATGATGCTAAAATCTGAAATTCACATGATCACATAATGATCTCTGCTATTACAGTTAGAAAATATACTATAAATATACAGTGCTAATTATACCATTTATAGTAATAGAATGCTAATTTAATAGTTTCAGAAATTTCTTTATGTCAATCCAAGAATAATTACTAACTAATCAAATCAACTAAATAGAAAAACAGTACTCTACAAATTTCTCTTTCAAAACTATCATCTTGGTATTCTAACTGGATCCAATTCCACCCACACCCTTCACATATTTTTA